CTTGCGAGCTCTTTCCACCCTTCTTCTCAGCTTCTCACCTCTTTTGTCTCTCCGCAAGTACCACCTCACCAGTATCCTTCTTCTAATGGATGAAAGCTTCTTTAGGTGTTTGTTTTTAAGTCTTAAATTTTTCAAACGTTTGTAAGCGTCAAAGTTTGAAAGAGTCTTTGTTTGTAAGTCGTTTTATTATTAAAGTTATGTTTTATAGCATTTGTGTTCTTTTAAGTATTTTATGACTTTTCTATCATCCTAGAAAGAGTTTTGTTTTTGTGATAAAAAATTTGGGTCCCTTCCCAAATTTTTGATTGCATTATGGACAAAGGGAGAGAGAACAAAATGGAGTGGAACTGAGAAAGAGAGGGACATCAAGAGCACGAGAAAGAGAGAGAGATAAATATATTAACAAAGATAAAGTAAAAGAGGGGAAAGGAGATAAAGTTCCCTACCCCTAGCTCCTGTGGGTGAATGTTCCCTACCCCGGGCTCCACTTCCCATGGCTGGTTCTTCTCTCCTGTGGGCATGGTTTAAAATTGCGCAATATGAGGCCCGCCTTTGCGCAATTCAAATAAAAAATGCCTCGATGCTTACGCCTCGAGTTTTTTTATGAGGCTTGCGCCTCAACTTGGTTGAGGCCCGCCTCGCCTCACTGGCATGAGGCTTACGCCTCACGCTATATATATTAAAACTTACATAAATCTTGAAGTAAATGCCCGACATTGGACTCTATAGGAGAGGAGGAAGGGGAGAGAGCAATTCATCATAATGATGATTCAAATGAAGAACCCATTAGTTATGACAGTGCTAATGACTTAAGAGTTCTTAAGTGATATTTCATTGCTATTTATTTTTGGAAATTGGAACTATATGTTAATTAAAAGAATACTGGGAAGAATTTTGAGTTGAACTAAATTTCATGTTGTCTTATTATTGGGATATTTTGATTTCACTTCATATTTTATGCTTTTTTATGTTTTATATTATTCACTCATTAGTATATAAAAAATTTATCATTTTATGTTTACGTAATATTTTGATTTTAAGGCTTAAGCCTCAAAACGCCTTGAGGCTTACGCCTCGCCTCACGAATGAAAAACGTCTCAATGCTCGAATATGCAATTTTAAACATTTCCTGTGGGTGTCTGTTCCGATTTCGTTGGCTGCATATTTTGGTTCCCCTGGCTGCCTGTTCCTATCCTCCTTGTGGCCCTTCGGCTGCTGCTCCTGGATAGCCTGTTGGCCTTCTATTTCTCTTGCCCTAATTGGTTCGGTTGGTGGTTTTTGAGTTGTTTGGCTGCCCCATTTTCAACTATAAATATGTGATGTTTTGTTTTTTTTAAAAAAAGAGGAGATTATATGGTAGTTTTTGGAATAAAACCTAAGGGTTTTTTTTTGGGAAAAGCTTGTAAGCTTGCTCCATTCTTTTTCTTCTTCTTGGGAAGGCTTGCAAGTTTATCCTCTCTTCGACTTCGACTCGGGCTTCTTATCTCTTTCTTCTCTCCGTAAGTGATCACCCCATCTGTATCTTTCCTCACAGTGATTGCAAGCAAGCTTAGGAGTTTTTATATCATAAGTTTGCAAGCGTCGTTTTATAATATAAAAGTTGTATTTTATTTTGTTTAAGTGTGGTATTTTGTGTCTTTTCTTATTCTCAAAAAAACGTCTTGTTTGTTTGTAATTTTGGCAATCATTTGATTGCATCAAATTGGTATCATAAACTAAGATTGTACCCCTAGGTTAGGATTTTCTTAGATTTTTTGTGTTTTCTTTAGGTGTTTAAAAAACATGAAAAAACATAAAAAAAAAAAAATTGAATCAAGTGTTGGAGAAAATAAGCCAAAGGCTTTTGAAGAAGATATCCCTATGGAAAGATGGATTCCGTCGGAAGGAAGTTCAACCGATCCACTACAAAATGAAATATACAAGCTTCAAATGAAAATGCATGTATGTACGAAATAATACATGAAGAAAAAGAAACTTTTGCAAGACCAATTCAAGAAAGAAAGAAAAATTATCTTGAAGAGGTATGGAGCAATGATTCAGGAGCTAGATGCGCCTTCATCTCGTCAGAAAAATTCTAAAGCATCCTCATCAGAAGATGAGCCCTTTTAATCGGGGAAGAATCTGATGTAGGCAAAGGGGGGCAAATTACTTGCCTTGATTCTTGGGCTGCTAGTGGTTCTCAATTTGGGCTTGGTTGCTCAATTTGGGCTGTATTTTTGGGAGCTGCTGTGTCTAGCTCATTATGGCTGAGCTGCTTCTTCTTTTCAACTCATTAATTAGGTACTCCCCCCCCCCTTCCTTTCCTCTCTCTATGGCTCTTCGGTTCCCTGCCCCTAGCTCCTCTTCTCGTGGCTGGTTCTTCTCCCCTGTGGGCGCTTGTTCCGGTTTTCCTTGCCGCTTGTTATGGTTCCCCTGGCTGTCCGTTCCTGTCCTCCTTATGGCCCTTCGACTGCTACTCCTGGATAGCCTACTGGCCTTCTATTTCCCTTGCCTTGATTGGTTCGGTTGGTGATATTTGGGGCTATTTGGCCGACCCATTTTCAGCTATAAATATGTGATATTTTGTTAAAAAAAGATGAGATTATGTGGTAATTTTTTGGAACAAAACCATAGGGTTATTTTTGGAAAAAAGCGTGCGAGCTTATTCCATTCTTCTTCTTCTTCTTGGGAAAGCTTGCGAGCATGTCCTCTCTTCGACTTCGTCTCGGGCTTCTTATCTCTTTCTTCTATCCGCAAGTGGCCACCCATCTACTTCAGAGAGATATAGCAAGTAAAGACAGGGAAAGGTAGAAGGTGAGAGGGTGAGAGAGGGGAGAGAGATAGAGAAAGTACAAATTTTATTTGTTGGATGCAAGAGAAAGTAATTGAGAGAGGGAGGTAAATGGATAAAGAGGGATAAAGAGATGCAGCGAGAGAGAGTGATATTGAGATAGAGAAAGAGAGATGGAGAGATATGGGAGAGAGAGAGAGAGAGAGAGATAGATAGAAAAAAATGTGAGAGAGAGAGAGAGGGGGAGTGGGAGAGAGAAAGTGAGATAAAGAGACATTGAGAGAGGGAGGGAGAGAGAGAGAGGGAGAGAGAGAGAGAGAGAGAGAGAGAGATGAGGGAAACATAAAGAAAGGTAGCGAGAGATTGAGAGAGAGAGAGAGAGAAAGAGGAGAGTGAGAAGGGAAAGAAAGAGATAGAGAGAGTGAGAGGGTGAGAGATAAGGGATAGATATGGAGAGAGAAAGTGTGATACGAAGGTGAGAGAGAAGCAATAGATAGATGGAAGGGAGAGATGATGAGAGAGCATGATAGAGATGAAGGGTGAGTGTGTGTCTGTGTGTCTGTGTGATAGAGAGAGGGAGATAGAGTGTGATATATAGTGTGAAATATAGAGAAAATGACATAAGTAAAAATAAATAGTAGGAAAATTAAAAAAACATATAAAAATTCAACCCACTATTAGTTTAGAAGATGATAATAAAGACAATGATGATAAGCTGATGTATTTCACAATAATTTTAAATATAAAACTATATGTCCATTTGTGGTCGATTGTAGCTATTTGTAAAAAGTTCTAAAAATATTGTCAATAAATAGATTTTTTTACAACTGTAATGTTTATAACAATTTTCTTATAGCTATAGGATTTTAATAGATATGATTGTACAAAGCTAGTTCTTATCATACAAATGCCTAAAAAAGCATAAAAAAAAATATGGCCAAATCGAAGTATGATAGTGATCTGCAAATCAAAGTAAAGTAAAAACTGTCTTACACAGGAGAAATTATTAGGTGTGATGTCCGAACGTAGGGATATGTCCGGACTCCAATAAAATGTTGACACGTGGATTGGACACGTTAATATTCAATTGGATTTATTTTTTACTTTATATATTTAATGTGCCCGCGAAACTTTAAGCCAAGCGCACCAAAAGTGTGGCCAAAGCGAAGGTAAAGCACAATCAAACCGCAACAAAAAAACGCAACAAAAGAATAGTCAAAGTGCAACTAAAGCACATGTAAAGCGCGGGTAAAGCGCAAGAAAAAATCACAAAAAAGGTGCAACCAAAGTGCACTCCATGTGTCAAATTTTAAGTGAATGTTCGGACATATCTCTGCATCCGAACTCCGCACATAAAAATTTCTCCCTTCAATAATGTATTTTGCTTCCATACGTGCAAACAAAAGATGAACTACAACCATAACATAAAACCTTTTACTCCTTTTTGTTTTCTTTTGCAAATCCTTTTGAACACCAAATTACAAGTCAGTAACTGCTATCAACATAATTAAATTTAACCAACCATTTCGGGTTAGTATTATGAATTCTCATCTTTCATCTATTTCTATTGAGCACCACGTGAGTTGCAAACTCTATTTTGCATAAATTTGTTTTGCTTAATTCAATCATGATGTCTTTTCCTATTATCTTCCATAATAATTTCAATTTTAATCTACTACTCTTATTAGCGCATCGTCTACATTCTATCATGTATTCCCAAAACACCTAATTTATTACATCATGTAATCTTTAATAAATTTTCTTCCCAGATCCCTCTAATAAAACTCTTTTCCAACTCAACTCCTACGTTTAACCACAAATCCTTCTTTACAATCTCATAGCTGTCCTACTAAGCATAGCTAAAAACAATTTCTTTTTCCACTACTCAGATCGATATAAAATGACAACTTGTTAAGTTTTATCAATTTATATGCATTTTTATGATATTCTTTTATTGCATAGTACTATTAAGATTCGTTTATATACCACTTTCATTTAACTCTCCAAGTTGTCTCATCTACTTACAACTCATTTATATAAGCAATCCAAAAAAATTACTTGAAACACGCCACATGGAGGTTTTACATATCCTTAACAAATAATGATCACAGCTTAAATTGTATATCTTGAAGTTTGCCATTGTTCTAATAATTCTACGATTCTTATCTTTAAAACTTTCACCCATTTCTTTGGCATTACATTAATAAAAATAGGTATAGCCAAGCATAATTATGCGAGTTGAATGAAAAGTATACAATATAAGGCCCTAGTTCTGAATATCGTTTTTAAACATGCAATGCCACTAAAAGGAAGGTGGCGAGTAGGAGAAGATATTTCTAGCTGAACCTAGGATTATAAAAGGAAGGACGAATCAAACATCACAATAATCAAAATATAAAATGTCTTAATGTTGATCCCTAATAAAGCCATATTGTGAGCGGAAACTCTTTTGCATATCTATCTTAACAATGAGAATGTACATGCCAAGAATAAAAAAAATTACATAATTGATAGATAAATACTAAAGCTAGTTCCTCCTGGAAACTCTATGACTACATGTTTTATGGAGTGAAGCAACATATGGATTTTATGCCCGATTTCATATTAGCTAGGTAGGCAATTAATAAATAGGGGCCGATTAAACAAATCTCAAATAAACATAAAATAAGGTTGAGCCTTACTTTTTTAAAATTTGCTCATATGCAGTAATAAGCACATCAGTGCCAACTTCCTTGAGAAGTTTCTCAAATAAACCTGTATAGGAAGAGATCTTAATACAAATCCTCACACGAGTTTTCCAAAATAAAACCAACAAACTTACCCGCACACTTTTTGGTGCTTCCATTCCTTGGTTGTCCTTAGAAATAGTCTGGAACCATACAAAAGAAAACAAAGAAAATATTATCATTACACATCAATAGCAGATAAACTTTAATAACTCCAAAGACAATTCCTATAAATAAAAACAATTAAGTTGGAACGCGATATGGATAACGTTGAGTATTTAAAAGGAAAAGGGTAAATTTAAAAGAAAAACTCTTATTTTATGGAAGAAATACTGGATTAAAAATAGGTTATATATATATATATATATATATATATATATATATTAGAAATACTTATTTATCAAAATTAATCATGACAATCAGAGAAAAAAATTATCTCTTAATGCAATAGCTGCTAAATTATAAATAACAAATCCTTTATATAAACTATTTATCGAAAATGTGTTTGGCATGAAATAAGAACAAAAGGTGACATCTGCAGCAAATAGTAAATGGGATGAAAGCCAACATATTTACTATTTGACCAACTGCTATTATATATATTACAGAAGCATCTCTATATTGTAAACAAGCTACTTCTGTTATTCCTGAGTTATCTTGGACCTGCTGTGGATAGAAAAAGAGCTTACGCTGAAGTCTTTGTCTTAATGAATTAGCTTGGCTCACAGAAGATAAATTTTGACAAGGTAATTTAAGGATATTGCAAATTTCCTTTTTGTTAGTGGATTATCCACTTTCAAAAAATAAGGATTAGATATAATTGTATGCTAATCAGGGGTATGGAAATGTTTAAGCACCACAAATGCATACAGAAAATGACAAAATTAAATGAAATTAGCTTATTCATACGTACTACCATGAGTAAAGATTTAATATGCATACATAATACGATGATGCGTTGTATGATTTACTCATGAACAAGAAGCTGATGAGATATACATTAATAGTAATTCTTATTATTTAACGGGTAGAATATTGAGAGTATGTAAGGAAGCTTTTATAGAGGCTAAATCAATAAAATCATTACCATCACTATCACTATGACAACAGTCTGGAGTCCACCTTAGAAGGGAAAACAGTTTTTTTCATATAAAAAATGAGAAGCACAAAATCAACAAACAAAATAGTGTTCCACAAGAAATACAGGAAAAAAGTCAGAGCATTCAATAAACAAAAGAATTAGCAGGATAAATCTTTTATTAAACTGGCAACTGATCTTTTCTCGATCCCTATCTTGTCAAACGGATAGAATAAAAATAAACCATGCTTTGTTATAAAATTTGGTTTCCTCAGTGGGAAGAAGAAATTCCTAAACAATGTCAAGAGGTACACTCATCATTAGCATCATTAACCTCAACCTAACTATTTACACTTAGCTCAATATATCATCATCGGAACTGACTCCTGATGAGTGCAAATAATTATGCTTGATAATCAACAACATCATTGTCCAAAATACTTGGAACTTGTAAATCTTTCTTCATTTATTCATGTTAATAACAGCATTATGTTCAATAATATGTTATTTCCTTTGGAAAACAATGAGCAGCACTGCATAGGAAACAATATGAAACCCAAGTCAATTAAAATATAGATCAAGAATTTTCACACGACTACCATAGTTAAATCTCCAAATGAATGTTCATGGAAATAAAATTATAGCATACAACTGCTGATGTTTCCCCACAAAAAGCCAAAATCATGGCATGGTAACCATTGAAGCATGACAAATAAATAAAAGCTATTTAACACCCCAGTTGAAATACTATTTTGGAAACATTTTCAAATCCTTATATGATGGATGCTTAGTTCTAGGTAAATATAGCATAATGCCAACTTTGGTTTCCTCTATGGTAGCAAAAGATTTCCAGTGTGAATAAAAAAGAATAGCATTGATACTTAATAATCAACATCATCCTTAGCCCATTCAGAATTTAAGAATACTTCTCCCTTTGATGCTCTGTGCTCAGTAATGTGTTATGTCCAATAAGGAAGGATTTGGTGCATTAAATGTTAAGCAACAATCGGTAAAAATCCAAAAAAAAAAATAAAACGTAAGAATTCTCAAAGGACATGCGAACTCAACTCACAAATTGCCTACTGATAAATTTTATAGTGCTTCTAACCTGATCCATGTGACCATTTCTTGCCATTCTTTTCCCACCTACTTTGTCTACAGGAAATAGTCATATGACAACCTCATAAAGTAATCATTATATATTGTATGAAATATGATAACTACCTTGTAGCAAACTTTCCCTTTGGAAATAAAAACATTAAGTTGCAAAACCATATTGACTTCTCCAGCATTTCAAATTAAGTCGATATTGTTTTCCACCATAAAATTTTGCCCAAACAATCTTCAAATCAGATATACACATCAAAACAGCATTTCTTGCATTATTAATTCCTATTGGAGCAAGGCTTCCCTAGAGACAGGCCATATTAATAAAATAAACCAAAACCAAAACTTACTGTCAAGATAAATCTCATAGTTATACTGCAAATTTCATTCCTTAACTTCCCTAAAATGCTTCATGTCATTAAAAGACACATTGGACAGTCAATAAAAAATAAGAAAGCATCCAAGAAGCCAAAACACATTTCTTCCAAGGAAAATTCTAAAAAAAATTACGATTGTCTGCACAAATAGTATTTTAAGTATGGAAAAAAAAACATCATCACACTGCTTACCGTGCTTTCTTCTTCATCTTGTTCACGAGCGATGTACTGTAAAAACCAAACAACACTTGAATCATCTTCGGTCACTTTTTTAAAATCCAGCATCTCAAAAATAAGGCTTTCATCACAGTTGGAATCCACAAAAGCCTCCTTTACAAACAAGATGAATTTGATCAGATCAACAAACATAAATATTCATCCAAGTTTAATAATAAACAACTTTTGGGAGGAAAGAAAGAACCACAAAACCAGACAATCCGAAACTTCTTACTTTACTCACATCTTATAAAACAAAACCATCCACTATCATTCCACCAATTGAAAATTATACATGCATGTATGAAAACAGTATAACCACCTGAAATCTTAGAGGAAAGCAGCTCGATATTTCTCCCACAAATAGGGGTCTTTCATAGTAATCGTCCCTTTTTGCTCAATGTGTGTTTCAACCTTTGAGATCGAGTTGTACAAATGCGAGATGGATTTGCATTATGTGTGTTTAAAAAAGAAAGAAAGAAAGAAGTAGCTTTGAGTTATTTTTCTAATTTTAGTTTTATTTGAATGATGATGTTGGATTGGACCATGAACATATTTAGATTCTTTTTGTTGGAGCTGTATATGAAATCTTGTTGGCAATTATTGTAAAGTGTTGATTTTGCTCCAGGATCGTCCAGGACGATCCCAGATCTGGGATCGTCCTGGGACGATCAGTTGAGGATTCGCTCCAGAATGTGTCCAGATTGCTCCAGGTGATTTTCCTGTAGGTATCGGCCGGGCCGATAGGGACATCGTCCAGGCCAATCGGTTCAGTGCATGATTTCGTACTGAGAATCGCCCTGGGAACCGTCCAGGACGATGGATTTTGTTCAGATCGTCCCAGGACGATATTACGATCGGCCGGGCCGATCTGTGTATTATAAAGCTGAAATCAGTCATTTTGAAGAGAGAGAAAAATCAAAATTAACGAAAATATCAGCCAAGGAGAGAGAAAGTCAAGGGCTTTTTGGGAAAAGTTGATTTTCGAGAAAGAGAGAGATTTCAACATGTGGGCAATTCAGGCAAAGTCAAAATCATCTACTGGACTTTTCCATTCTCTTCAAGAATAAGTTAATATCTAATATTTTTTTTGACACAACAAGCATGCAATAAGAAATATCTTTAATGCTTTGATAATCATGATCCATGTAGTAAATCATTCCATAATTAAAGAGAATTAGTTGTTCGTAGTAGAATAAGAGAATATACAAATAATTGTCTGAGGCATTTGGCATTAGATATTATGCACCATTTAAGGATCTGATATATAAGAATATATCTCTAGTATACATGCATAGTGCTTCTGGTGTTGATACCATCTGCCATGCATTGATATTATTGAATTTCATCAAATCTTTCATTCTCTAATTTTTATGTGAAAATACACTGGAAATTTTATATGTCCTTATAAATATAACTTCATTTTTGATACTAGAACATATCTCAAACATTTATGTGACAATTATATCTTGTGATAGATTTGGATTGTAAGGAACTACACAATTATCTAAGAAATATTTCTTACTTTTACCTTTGATGGCATCTTGTCTTGCTTTTCATAAATTTTATATGAGTCATTCATCCAAATTTATAAGTTTGATTTAAAGAAGATGTTGGATATTTAATCTTACATAATCCTTTTTTTCGTTCAAGCATATATTTTTTTGTTTAGAAGTTGCATAGGGACCTATGCAACATATGTTTACAACATACTCATGTAGACTCTTATATTTTGAAGGACTGGTAATTCTACAGATATAATTCTATCAAACTATATTCAGAGACTATTATCTTAAATAATAGTATTGGAAGATAATTCAAAAAGGGAGCATTTTGGAAGTCCATCTTTTTTTAAATTCAATACATATATACGGTTAGCTATAGTACCAAAAATTGACATTCTTTATAATTATCTTTAAATCTTATAATTTAGCCCTAAAAAATATTGTGTTGCTAGGTCAGGTCTATCTTGGGTGTTTGTTGACCTCCTTTATTCGAGGTTATTTTCCGCTAGAATTCACACTCTAGGCTATGTCTTGTAAGTTTAACTTAGCTTAGACGTCATCCATGAGGTTATCCATTAGGTGGTCCACCCACGTGACGTTAGCATGACTCGGTCTGTCACTCATTCGAAAATCAAAATTAACTTCAATCATTCAACTCCAAATGAACTCAATCAGCTCGATTTATGATTCATCCGACGTCGATCACTCAATCTAATTTATTTTCAATCAATTTGATATATCATAGGGATAAATTTCAATTATGACAAATCAATATACACTAAATTTTGCTAATAAATTCTAATTTATTTTCTTTGCGATTCAATTAGAATCAACTCCTAAAATCGCCTCGTTAAAGATTGGATGCAATCCTTAGCCACGTTTTATTAATTAGAAATGATTTCGAATTTGATCAGCGACTCAAACCAAGCCACACAAACAGATCCTTCTCCTTATCGCACACACAAACTGGCTCCCAACTGCTTCCTGCCAATTCTCAATTGAAATTAACCCATCCCAATGCCTCTCCCACCAACTCTCTTTTTCCATGCTATAGAAGCCAAACAACTCCCCTATATGCCTCTTAATCCGCACTCTTCATACGCATGAAACAACCCTCGTCCAGCCTGCGCTCTATCAGCCTCTCTGTAGTTCGCAAACCGCCTCCTCCACGATCCTCTCGCAGGAAGTTCGGCGAAAACTCCAATTCCCGATCTCCCTCTCATCATTTCGCTCTAGTCATCTTTCTTTTATTCGCACAAAGCCTTAGCCCGCGTCGTTGATTTTCCCCAAGTTCGCGAAAAAACCAAGGCTCGCCTACCCACTCTCGGTTTCTGCCAGTTCACAAGTAGTTTCTGAAGATGCCTCCAGCCTCTCCGACGCTCTCGTGCGCAGCCCCTAGCCGAAGCGAGAACCTCCTCTCTCATATTTCTTGACGATCAACTGCTGGGAAGCCAAACGAAACCTCCGCTCCTTTGCCTCGTTTGGTGAAAAAAAATCAGGTCACCTCTCTCATTACTAATATCCTTCTTCTTTCTTTTTAGATTTTACTTCAGTTAATTCTCAGGATTATTTTCTTTGTTGAGGACTTTTTCTCTAATGAGATCTAAGGTGTTTTCTCTCTTTGAAAGTGGGTTGTTGAACACTGAGATTTGGTCTACCTGAATGAAATTTTTCTGGATTCAAATAGGTTGAAATTTTTGTTCATAATAAATGATAAAGGGATATTTATATGGTTTTATATTATTACCCTTGAATAATTTTATTTAGATTATAAATGGATGTGGTTTTCTTTTGTCATGGTATGATATTATACACTTTATTTGAAAATATGGGAGAAATACTTTTCAATGATGCTGTTTTTTAATATAGTTCACAATTTCAATCGATTATGATCAATTTTATTTTCCTGAAAAGCTTGTTGGCTTAACGTTTATTTCTTCCTCCAATTTTATCTCTTTGTTATCTCTTTAAGTTTAGTGGATAGTGCAAGATAATAGATGACTAGTTAAACGTGCTTATGGAAATTATAGATACATTGCTTATCTCACTTGATTTCTTATGATATTTTCTATTATTTTTATTTTGAGGGAGTTAAGTAGTTTTGAATTATCTTAAACGTGGCACGTTCTTTGTAAGATTATGAGAGTAATGAGGGTTAATTTAGTCTTCTTGTCAATTTTCAAAATTTAATGTTTATATTCTCAAGTGGAAGGGCATAAGGCTTTGTATAAGCCTTTGCCTTTTATTTATTTTTATAATAATAGCAATTTGGTTTGTTAAGAAGAGAAGTATATTTAATTTAAGAATTAAATTATGAGATTTTAAGGAAAGCAAATTGTGTTTTGTTTAAAGTGGAAAAAAAGAAACGAGTTTTATGTTTTTTGAAAGGTGAAGATGTAATTTGTGTAAAGGTGAATATTGTGTAAATGTTTTTGGAAAACTGAAACTTGTGTTTGTTTTGAAAACGTATTGATGCTTTGAAAAAGCCAAAAGTGTGAAATGTGAATAGTGAGGGTGAATGTTGTAAAAGTTTAGATTAAGGTATGTTTTGTAGTAGAAAAGTGAAAAGGTGTTTTGTTAACAAAATGAAAAGTTTTAGTGTGTACTTTAAAAAAAGTGATAGTATGATTTAAGATAAAAGTGAAAGGGTATGAATTGTAAAAAGTTGGAATGTAATATGCTTAAAAGATAATTTTGTAGTGGGGAATGGTGGAGGTGGTGAATTTTTGGAAGTATGTGAGTTTGGTTTAAAAAGCAAAAGTAGAATTTTGGTGGTGATTTGGAAAGGTGGAAAGGTTTTATGTTTGAAAGATGAGTATTTTGTTTTTGTTAAATTTCTGTGAGTTTTTGAAAAGTGAAAGTATAATGTTATGGAATATATAGTTTTGAAGAAAGCAAAAATCTCTTTCCCTTACCTACTTTTCTTTTTCATGTCGCTTCGGGGTAAATATTAGATAGATATAAAATATACTTTCAAAAATGAGAAGGTTCCAAAAGCTAAGTCAACAAACGCAGTATTCAAGCCGAAGGAAAGGTAAATTTTTATTTTCAGGTAATTTTTTTATTTAATTATTATTTATTAAAAAGTGCTTTTTGTAATCCCTGCTTTCTTCTCTTTACTTGCCAATGAACTGTGATGGAACGGTAACCGCGATCGAGGGAACAAAGGACAAGGAACTAATGGACGTGCAGTCGGCTCTATCCAACCGGGGTAGGGTGCTTACGCGGCGAAACCACCGGGTCGTAGCTCCCCGGTGACTGTGAGTATTCTAAACTTAGAAAAACCTTTAGGGGGCCCTTGAAGTGGTTTGCACGAACCCTTCCATTTAGGTCCCTGTAGTAACTCAATTTAATTAGGAATTACTTTTTGTTTTATTTTAGATCCTTAAATCCTTTTTATACGCACCAATGTCTAAGGGTTTTAGTAATACAAATTTTCAATCTATATAACAGTAGTGACACTTAAAGGACATTAAATTAAGGACGATGGTTTTTTCTTAGAAAATCTAGACTTAAGATGCATGACATTTTATGATAGATAACATATAACATAGAAAACTTTGTGAACACCCTTACCTTAGAATAGTGAATATTTTCAATTAAAAATTT